CAATTCAATATTGGAATGAGCTCCGTAGTGCCTTGAGAAGGAGGCATATTCCTCCATAAACGAGATGTATGAGTAGCTATTATGTGTTGTGAATGTTGTAAGTGGATAGAGATGATTGCATAGCATGGGTTGATGTGTTTTGTGTTGAAGATGATATTGTATATCATGATAAGGATACTTAGGTAGTGAGATGTGAGATGCATGTTGTAGTTGAGTTGTGAAATTGTATAGTTGTGTAAAGGTGCTAAATGAGTTGAGGAATTATGTGTTGAGTGAGTTATTGTGCTAAATAAAAATGTGTTGAATATGTGGTATATTGTTGAAGTTGTTTACAAGTTGTGTTGACTATTTATATGTTATGAAATATGATGAGATGATTTAGTTGAGAGTTGTGAAGTGCATGATGATAATGTTGTGAGTTGTGAGGAGCATGATGCGAAGTGTGTAGATGTGTTGAGACGATCCAAAAGTTGTTAGTAGACTGTGTTACTAAGTTGTTAGATGAGTTTTGTATGTTGTTATAAAGTTGTATGTTGCACTATGTGTTGAAAAGATGTTACTCTGTGATGGTTGAGCTGTTGAGTTGACTGTGTTATTTAAAGTTGAAATGAGTTGATAGTTGAGTTGATGAGATGATAACTGTTTGTTGTGCTCTGATGATGAGTTATTGATCACTAAGACTAGGAAAAATATTTTCAAAGTTATTATAAATAATAATATTTTATTCTTTTAGCGACCGAAACTGTTCCGTCGCTATTTTAACCAATTATTATTATTTTAGCGACCAATTTAGCGACCATTTATTGGCCACTAAAAAAATCGGTCGCTAATTCGGTCACTAAATAAAATTTGCAACTAAATTAGATTCGGTCGCTAATTATGTCGCTATTAGCGACAGAAAAAAATTGGTCACTAATTTCGGTGGCTAAATTGGCTTTTTTTGTAGTGAATTATATGTTCAATAAGATCCGCTTGAAATCTGGTAAGGAACGATTGCTTGAAGAAGCAACTCTCTCTCTTCTTCAAGTAACTCATGTTGCTATGTCAGAATCATCCAATGACAACAAACCGAGACTTAAGTTGCTTCATGGGACAAACAACTCCCATTAGAGTGGCTCCACTATTTTTTCTTTTCAATTTTTTTTTCAATTATGTTTCTTCTTGGTCGCTGGCAGGAATAACGAAACCCAAATTTTTTACTAAAATAGAATTTTTTTAAAAAAATTTACCAAAACAACACCTATATCAATTTATTTACCCAAGTAGCACCTTTTACTGTTCATGCTCAGAATTCAATTCCTGGAGAACTGAATTCTGAACTTCAATTTTTTTTGTGCTTAGAATTCTGTGTTTAAAAAAATATTCAATTTGTAGTCTAGGTTTCGCGTTGATTTTGCAACTGGAACAGCCCAATCTGCAAGCAGAACGACCGATTCTGGTTGCATGCGTAGTCTATTATTTTTGAAACTGGAACGTCCAAGCAGAACGGCCCATTCTGATCCATTTGTCATGTGTGAATTTTTTGCTCTATAACGGCCCGTTCTGAAAGTAGAACAGGTCGTTCTTCATGGAGAATCGGATCGTTCTACAAGGAGAACGGTCATTCTACAAGGAGAACGGGTGGTGCTGTAAGGAGAACGGGCCTGAATCCATTTTTATCCCCCATGCTCAGATCCAAAATGGAAAAAAGAAATTTAACAGCTCAAAATTCGGTTCCCCGAGTGTGAAAGTAAAAGGTGCTACCTGGGTAAATAAATTGGTACAAGTGTTATTTTGGTAAAAAAAATTTAAAATTCTATATTAGTAAAAAATTCGTGAAACCCTCACCCCCCTCCCATTTTCTGTTTTTTCTGTTATTTATTTATTTATTGGTTTCATTTTTTATTTTTAAAACTTGATAAATAAAATATTTAATTTAATAAATTAAAAAATGTAAGATTTATTTAATAAATATACCAAAATTTTAAAAATAAATGCCCTCATTTTTTTTTAATATTACATATTTAGAAAAATAAACTTAACTAATAAAAAAAAGACATATACACATTTTTAAAAAAATATTTTTTTAAATAAAAAAAGTGGTGTCATGGGCTAGAGAGACAGAAGAAAAAAAATGCAAGTCACTATGACCTATAAAAACTTAAAAAAAAAAAATCAACTTTACACATAATTGCATTTTACAAGTCACTATATGATTTATGATGTAATATTTATAAGAAAAAGTATATAAAAAATAAAAAATTTATAAATATAGTAAAAAATTTAAAATAAACCTTTTTCATTTTTTTAAATATTACATATTTATAAAATTAATGGGCATCTCCAATGCAAGCAACTCATTTGAGTTGCTTCATGCATTAAAAAATGAAAAAAGTAGTCTCTAGTGTGTCATGTCAACATTAAGCAACTCAAACACAAATTTACTCCAATGGTAAGAAACTTTATGAAATTCAACTTTTAGAATTTTTTTTCTAATCATTTATGAACCAAATTTAAATTTTTATTAAAAAGGATAATTGCACTAAGATGAAAGAAAATAAATTACGAGAAAAAAATACACAATAAGTAGATATTAAAAATTAAAATAAAGCAATAGTAAATACATAACCATTAGGAAATTAGTTTTCATCATTATTATTTTCGAAACGTTCCCAAATATGTTCAATAAGATCTGCTTGAAATTTGGTAAGGAACGGTTGCTTGAGGAAACAACTCTCTCTTTTTCAAGTAACTCATGTTGCCATGTCAGAATCCTCCAATGGCAACAAACCGAGACTTAAGTTGCTTCATGGGACAAGCAACTCCCATTGGAGTTGCTCCACTATTTTTTCTTTTCAATTTTTATTTTTTTTTCAATTATGTTTCTTTTGGGTCACTGGCAGGAATAGCGAAACCCAAATTTTTTACTAAAATAGAATTTTTTTAAAAAAAATTTACCAAAACAACACCTGTATCAATTTATTTACTCAAGTAGCAACTTTTACTGTTCATACTCAGAATTCAATTCCTGGAGAACCGAATTCTGAACTTCAATTTTTTTTTGTGCTCAGAATTCGTAGTGTTTTAAAAAAAATTCAGTTTGTAGTCCAAGTTTCGCGTTGATTTTGCAACTGGAACGGCTCGTTTTGCAAGCAGAACGACCTATTCTGGTTGTATGCGTAGTCTATTATTTTTTAAATCGAAACGTCCAAGCAGAACGACCCGTTCTGATCCATTCGTCATGTGTGAATTTTTTGCTCTGGAACGACTCGTTTTGAAAGTAGAACGGGTCGTTCTGAAAGTAGAACAGGTCGTTCTTCATGGAGAACGGGCCGTTCTTCATGGAGAACGGGCCGTTCTGCAAGGAGAACGGGCCGATTTGAATCCATTTTTATCCCCCATGCTCAGATCCAAAAGGGAAAAAAAAAATTAACAGCTCAAAATTCGGTTCCCCGAGTGTGAACAGTAAAAGGTGCTACTTGGGTAAATAAATTGGAACAAGTGTTATTTTGGTAAAAAAAAAAAATTAAAATTCTATTTTAGTAAAAAATTTGCGAAACCCTCACCCCCCCTCCCATTTTCTGTTTTTTCTGTTATTTATTTATGTATTGGTCTCATTTTTTATTTTTAAAACTTGATAAATAAAAATATTTAATTTAATAAATTAAAAAATGTAAGATTTATTTAATAAATATACCAAAATTTTAAAAATAAATGCCCTCATTTTTTTAATATTACATATTTAGAAAAATAAACTTAACTAATAAAAAAAAAGACATATACACATTTTTTTAAAAAAATATTTTTTTAAATAAGAAAAAAAAGTGGTGTCATGGGCTAGAGAGACAGAAAAAAAAAAATGCAAGTCACTATGACCTATAAAAACTTAAAAAAAAATCAACTTTACACATAATTGCATTTTACAAGTCACTATATGATTTATGATGTAATAATTATAAGAAAAAGTATATAAAATTAATTTTTTTTCTCACATGTAATGGGTGTTATTATGATCCATAGCGACACCTACAACAACATCTTCAAATGTGTAAATGGTTTCAAAGTAACTTTATTTACATAATTTATTTTAAAAAGTGACTCTCAATTGTCAAAAAGCTAAGAAAGTGAAAGTGTACTTGGAGCAAGAACTGCTAGCAGCAAAGCTTGTGTCTAAGAAGTGACAAAACAAAATTAAGCTTGAGAGAAAAATCTATGACAAAAACTCTCTTTAGTGCTGAGCCCTAAATCTTAAACCTCTTTTTATTTGAGATTGTGTGTTTTGGAGGCATTAAGCTCCTTTATTAATGGGATCAAAATAAATGACTATTATTAATTAGAAGTGGGCTAAGTTAATTCAAGGTCATTGGTCAAATTGATATCTCTGCTCACTAGATAATGTGAAAGGTGCAGGTTTTCCTTACTCTTTCTCTTCTCCTTTCTCCTTCTTTCTTAAAATAAGTTGTAGGAGTCAAAATTATCAAATTCTAAGAGTCTATGTAAACTTTTCATAAACTCTTACAAATTTACTTATTATAAAAATAACATTAAAAAGTCTATTAAAAACATATATATATATATATATATATATATATATAATATAATATTTTTAATACAACAAGAATTCAACATTTTAACTCCATAAAAATGCAAAATTCTAAACTACAATAATAAAGTGTTATAATACATTAATACTAAATAGGATTAAACTACATAAATAATCAAATTATATAATTTCACAAAAACATAGCTGCTAACAAAAAAATATTTCATAAAGGAGTTGATTTTTTCAAATAATGAGTCATAGTAAAACACTAACACTATGGAGGCAATTTTATGTTTTTTTTTTGTTGTTAAAAATGAACAGGTATCGGTCTATTAAATTTTTGCATGGGAGATGCTCAAGAATAACAAAACTAGTTGTATCTTCCCGGGTATCTTAGAGAATTAGGTTCAATAAAGAAATGCCTGAAGCAAATAAAACCAATGCCCTTCAGTTCCTTAAGCCCCATAATTAATAAGTAGAAATTCAAATGTTCACTTGCTCGTGCATCGAAGTTTAAGTCTACACTATGAACATTTGAAAAATAGATGTAGCTTGTAACAATTGAACGAGATTGTCAATTGATAGTTCAAGGTTCCGTACAAACAATCCTCGTGACACAAACATGCTCATGTTCTCTCCTATAATAAAGCTCATAAAATATCCGGAGGCACACTTCTATTGTATCAGAACACTAGAGGCACAGAGACAATGTACTACTATACTACAAACTTTCTTCATTACCACATCAACTAGAGAACACGGTATCACATGAATATCTGTGTTGTTTGTTGTACCACATACAAATAAAGTGGCTAGAGCAGTGATCCCCTCTCACTTCCAAAATCATTTTCTTCAATCTCACTTCCATCATAAGATGTGGTGGAATTGTTATTTACACTTGGTTCAGAGCTGGTAGTGCTGCTTGTGGCAAGTGGGGAATCAGAAACACTCACTGTTCTGCTCTTTGAGGAACTACCTGATCTCACACTGTACATTGAGGAAGCTGGAATGCTTGTCACTAGTGGACGCAGATTACCCTGGATGCTTCGCCTTATGTCCTGTGGAAGAGAAACCAAACACACACTTGAAACTTACCTAATGTGAAACACAAGTGAATTATTCCATTTTTGTGTCAAAATAGTGGATACATTATTTATTGCACCATAATGCGTATTACTCCTTCGAATTCAGACATACTTTTAAGTGCTGTTTAAAACTATAATCTAATTCAGATACTCTGAAATCTATGTCAACATTCTGTTCTAACTTGTAACATGCTTGCACTATATCTCAAATGCTATATTAATATTAATGTCAGTCTACTGAATCAACAAAATATAAATATTTCTATTCAATCTGTTTCTCAATATCGGACATGAACAAACACTTTGCCTTAAACTATCCAAACTTTCCAACCATAATCTTAGGGATGAGGATAAATAACCAACGTGTTTTAGTTTATTGATTATTCCAGTATTTTAGAGAACACATGGGAATTCAGACATGCCATAGCTCATAAATTATTGACAATATACAGAACAGAAAAACTATTGAAATTCGTAGCTTTTACTTCAAGGCATGTACCAAGATTAAGCATAAATAGCTTCCTCGTGATATTATATTCATTAATTAAAACTACATAATCTAATTGATTTCAAGTATAAAAAAAACGTGAATATTGGAATAAATGGACATACCATATGCCTCATTGCCATATCCAAAGACTTCTTTGAAAGTGTAGTTCCAAATCCGGAGCTACCAGAAGAAGATTTTCCATAAGAATTGTCACGAGAAGAATGGTGGTCTTCATGTTTTGGTGGGGCCAGTTTTCTCATGTTCACTACTCTTTCAACCATCTTTGTCCCAATCAAAACTGGGCTCTCATCATCACCATCAGTGAAACGAGTTCGGCTCAAAACTTGCATAGAGGTGTGATTATTGTGGACCAACCCTGCTGAAGTCCTTCCTTTGGAGGGGGTATTTGCCTGCCTTTTAGATTTTCCATTGCTACTGGTCTCAACTGAAGATGATCTAGAATTTGGTGCTCCATGCCTAGTCCTAGTGGCTGAAGCTGGTCTATCCAACAATGATGTCTTCAAATTTGGAGGAGCATCATGAGAGAAACCAGGCATTTGTGAGGGTTCCCAGGGTCTAGATCGAACCGATGGAGAGCTTCCACGTGATTGCACTGGATTCTTAGCAGCTGCAGGGCGTGCTTTGGATGCTGATGAAGGCCTAGTAGGAGGAGCAGATGCTCCAAATGCCTTTGATGGGGTTGTTGATCTAAGTGTTGGTGTTGCTGATCTTTGAGATGCCTTGGGAGGTGCCAAGGAAGGCCTTGTAGTAGTAGGTGTTGAGGACCTGGCAGTGGATCTTGTAGGAGTAGATGATCTCGCTGGTGGAGCCGTTGATTTTGCGCATGTTAAGGTAGCCCTGGAGGTAGGTGTAGAGGGCCTAGAGGATTTGGTTGTTGAAGGTATTGTTGACCTTCCAGATGGAGTTGAAGATCTTGAAGTGGCTGAGGTTGGACCCCCAGATGAAGAAGGTCTTCTGCTACCATTTGTGGAAGAACCTAATCCTGGCATTGGTGCATGATGTTTAGAAACTGCATTGCTTCTTGAAGCAGGTTCTGCTTGGATATTAGCTACCTGCATTTACAAGATACAGCATAACAAGAAAGTTGCAAGTATTTTATCAGTTAAACCAAGAACAACATAATCCAATACTAATAGTTAGAAATGCTAACAAAACACTCTCTAATATACACTCTTCATTACTTACTAAATTTTATTAGAAATCACAGAAAATTATAGGTTTCGTTGCTTATTTAATGATTACTAATAGTTAAAAATGCTAACAAAACACTCTCTAATACACTCTTTATTGTTGACTAAAATTTATTAAAAATCACAAAAAAAAAATATTTAATGATTTTTAGTCATGATTTTGTAATTTTTAATAAATTTTAATTGATAGTAGAGAATTTGTTAGAGGGCCGTGGCTACCACTCCTATAGTTGAAATTCAAAAGAATTCAAGGCTTTGATAAGGTAGAGGAATTATTAAGACAAATTGATATGGTTCAACAACACTCAAATCATATTAAATGGTTCTTACCCTAGGTTTTAAAGCTGTTGGACGAGCATTATGAGTCTCCTGTTCACTCTTTATTGATAATTGTGATTCTTTCTCTAATGTAGGAAAAAGTGGTGTATCTGGTGGTGCAAGAAGCCTGAAAGAAGAAAACTTCACGTCAATAAAATGCAATTATGATGGACAAAAACGGCAATGTAATATAGATGCAGAAACTAAGAATGAGGTAAAATACATACTGTAAATCAGACTATTGCTTAGGTATGTGTTATGCAATTTGGTTCTTTTCAGCATGAAAGGTTTTCAAGTTTCAACCGCTATAGAATAACATAGCAGAGAAGTACAATTAACAAAAGACTAAATACACTAGGCAAAAAATAGTTAATTCATTTCTGATTCCTCCACCAAAGGTTTTCATTTGAAGTCATTAAATTAAAGACTAAGGTGATCATAGATTTTCTTTTCCCCAAATATGACATCAATTTAAGAAGAGGGTGCATGAACAGTAAAGTTTGATGTTAACTTAATCACTTGTTTCCTTTGGAGAAAACATTCAGCGCCATACTCTAACTCACCAGCAAAAAGTCACATCCGGTAACCGCAGATTAGTCACTAATTGTCAATTTTAAGATACAGCATGGTCATGAAAAAAAAAAAAAAAAACTACTCTAGCTCGCCATTAAAAATGGGAAATTGCAAAGCTCCAATAATTGCATGTAGAGTGTCATTAACAGATGAAGGGTGGAAGTTGGAGCTAGGTGTTGGTGTTGCAACCAGAAATTTTCATTGACAAAATTGAATGACCAAAAAAAAAAACTTTTCAGCTTAAGCAATTTCAAATGAAAGCCGCTAAAACATTCAAACATGCACTTTAATCATTCTAAAAATTTACTAATCATTTTGCAATGCAAATGACGTTTCACTTCACTATTGTGACTGCTTTCATCTAGACTAGAAGAATTTCTCTCACATCAGATTACAAACAAGACCAAATGCTCAACAAAACTTTAGTTCAATCGATGTAGAATTTTCAAGATCTACAAACTCATACGGCCAAATCAAGCTCCCCATCACCAATCAAAAGTCGAAGTCCAAAATTACCATTCATAGTCAGACTTGTCATTCTCTGAATTCAAGAACTCTTCAACTCCATTCTTCCTTGGTGGCACCGAAGACACGATCTTGGAAATCACGGAGCCCCCATGATTAGATTCTGTAGTCAAACATCATAACATGATGCAACATGGCCTCATAATCATTAATCAGGTATTAATAATTGCTGCCAAAAATAAATACATGAGAAGATAAAAAACATACCGAAATTGGGCAAATCAAGTTCTTCAGAGTTTTGAAGGAGAAGAAGATTGTTTTTCTCATTCTCTTTCTCTCTCCTCCTCATCTCGAGGAACAAAGAGAGCTCTTCATCTCTTCCCTTCATCACCATCACTTCAGCTTCTCTCTAAAAAAATTCAAACTTTGATAATCCCTTCCAGCAAAAACCAAGTAGGCAAGTACAAATTACCAAAGTCTCAGTCTTTGAACCAAAACTTAGTGATTGGAATGACTTGAAGGAAGATGATCCAAAAGGGTGTAGTAAAAACTGAAAAGACACTTAACAAGGATCTAATTACCGTTATGGGGTGAAAATGCAATCTAAAAAATTCGGGTCAAGACAAATTTCCTTCAATAAGCTAAGAAGAACTCAGGTAGTGTTGTTGGATGGAAGTTGAGTCACGTGGACAATGGTGTTTGTTTGTGTTGCAAGAGAGAACCTATTTTTGTTCGAAATATTTGATTGTGTTGTGAGTTGCCTTGACGAGGTTGGAAGTTGCAGTTGCAGTGGCTGTGCACCTTGTCTAGTTGGCATTCAGATGTTTGAAAACGGAACACAAGAAATAAAAACAAAAGGATTTGAATTCAATTTTTGCGGTTTATTTATTTGTTTCTCTGACACAATTAATACCTTTTATTATACTAACATTTGCTTTAAATGTTAAATCATCCTTGAAAAGTTTGTCCATAAATTTCGAGGCTAATCACGATGCTGCCACTCCGAGGGAAATTTGTTTTTAACAAGGGTCAGATATATTATATCTTAATTTGATTGCTTTAAATTTGTTATTTTACTGGGTCAGTTTCTCTACCAAAAACAACTAGGCTCAGATTAATTTACTTATATATCTTAATCCTTTTTCTTATTTGTTTCGGAACGTGCCAAACCACATTGACTAATCAATTAAGTCTTTTATTTTTATTTGATAGTGATGAATCTTTTAATTTGAAACATATATGGCATTATCACTCTAAGATAAAAATTGACTTCAAAGAGGATGAACAAATAGTCATGTACCTAAGAAATAAAAAAGTGAATTGCAATGGGACAATGAAACAAGAGGACAAAGACATAAATTCTGTCCTGTTTGTAATAGCATAAAAAAGTCTCAATCACAATTACTTCTGTCCTCATTGCCATTTCTTCACTAAGCATTAGACAATCAGTTGGTATTTGGCTATAAATGTGCTCCGTGGCCACAAGAAATTATTCACATTGTTCCATATTAAACCTTATATCCCTTCAAATGATAATGTATATGAATTTAATACCTCATTCCTTTTTGGGGGTGATGAGCTTTGCCAATGTAGCAAGAATAAGAAAGTTGAATGGGAGTGTTCTCCTACTCCTACTAATTAATACACAACTAATAGTTAATGGTTAATAAAATTATATTCTTTTATGTCAGTTTATAACACCCAATACTAAATTCGAAAATTAAAAATTAATTTGCATTTGCAAAATATATTTTTTTAATAAATATTATTTTAAGTGCTATAATCATTGGAGCAATTAATTTAATTGAAAGTATTAAATTTATTTTAAATTTATTTTAAATTTATTTTTTTTTATAAACTTACTTATGACATTAATGAAACTCTTTTTTTATTAATTACTTATTGAATTGAATAAATAATTTTAATTAAAAATATTTTTTATTAATAATAATTACTGTATAAGACATCTTAAATTGATTCTTATAAAAATATTAAACTATTTTCAACTTTAAAATTATTATAAAAAAAAAGTATATATGAATAAGGGCAATCATGTAATAGGGTGATAAAAACGGTGTTAATTTATACATTATTTATTATATTATAATATATGTGGAATACAAAATGGACCAAGACATTCTCTAATGCACATCACCATATGTGGCACCTAAGCTATGACTCAACAAATATACAAAAATGTACCATATCAATAATTAAATTTTTTATTTCAGTGTGATATTTAGAATTATTCAAACTTGCAATAGATTAATTGTGTGGAAATTCAAAGATAGGGGTAAGAATGTAAGATGGGGAGGATGGCACATTTAAAAAATAGTGATTGGTCAAACATGAAACGTGGGCTGTTGGATTCCTCGAGATGTAGAAAAGAATGATCGAACGGTGGTGATTGGAGAGAGAGGATGGGTCCTCGTAAATCGTGCGGTTCAAAATTTGGATTGGAGGAAAACGCTCCTCTCTGATTGCGAGGGTCCCATTGGGATGGATCTTTCATATTTGTATTAACTTTGCGAATAGCATTTATGTTTGCTTCTGATTCTGAACTGCTCTCACCCCACTGAATTTCAATGCCCCACACACTGCCAGGTTTCACCACCCATCATAAATATTTTTTACTTTAAAAAACTCTCATTTTCTTAATAACTTAAAGTTTAAAAATGTTTTCTTTTTTTTTAATTTTATTATTTAAATATATAGAAATTAAATCTAATTTGAAGCTATATTTAATCTTATTTATTTTTTATTATATATATACATATGTACATCTCAAAAATAATTCTTTTGATCGGAAACTAAAAAAAATAATTCCATTTTTTATTATTAATGATTAAAAAAGTAAAATAATTTAGAGCTTTTGATCGCGAGATATGTATGACATTGTAGGTATATCAAATTGAATAAGAAAAATGCAAAAAATTAAAAATAAATAAATAAAATTATAATGTAGATAAAAAACGAACTTAATGTTATACATTTCCCTTGATTTTCTTTTAATCGTTTTTCTAATCATCTTTTTCAAAAACATCTTCCAAAGTTTTATCTTATGTTATCCTGAATCTAACCAATCTCTTAATTCATTAATTGTAAAGTTTGCATCTCAGGACATGAAGAAGTTAATCCAATACTCCCAAGTTCAACTCTCGTGTTTATTAAAATAATGTTTAATTAATGAAAATCAGAAACAAATATATCAAAGGAGTGAGGCCTTGACTTTTTATAATTTTTGAAATTTTAATATATATATATGTATATATATATATATATATATATAAAGTTTAATTATTTTATTAAAATATAAGTAAATTTTAGTTGAGTCAACCATATTTGATATTTTAATTTAAAAATATTTTTAAAATAATAAATGATAATACTATTATAGGTATAATTAAGGATATTTTAAGAAATGTTGTATATATTTTACTTAAAATTGTGAAAAATAAATATATTTAATTAACTTTAATTTTTATAATATTGATTTAATTAACTTTCACAGATATAATATTTTTATAATTATTTATCAATTTGAATTAATGAAATAAAATAGTAAATAATTTTTAAATTTTAAAAAATTTATAAATTTAATTTATATATTAAAAACTTTAAATTTAATTATTGGATCATTTAAATTTGATATAGAACATGAGTTATTAATGAGAAGAATATTAATAACACATTTTTTAATATATTGATCATTGATCAAAATTTATTAAAAACTAGACACTTATTAAATATGAGATGAGACATATAAAAAAATAATATTTTTTAATAAATTGTAGTTAATATTAAAATATGTGATGTGAAATATATTATTAACAAAATAGAGCAAATAATGGGGGTGAAAAAAAAAATATTCGTCATGTGCTATTTATTCCCAACTCAACTTCTTGAAAAATTTAAAATAATAAACAAGATAAAAATAAATTTATCACAATCATCAAATAATGAAGTAAAATAAAATATCATAATTTAGCCTATGTTATCTTCTTCATCTTAACCACTAAAAGACACTTATGGATACATCAGTTAGATGATGTTGCTTCTTGAAATTTATTTTTATTCGGATACGTTCAATTTTTTTCCCTTGGTCATAGTTCAATTAAAGATCCTAATCAAACATGTATCTCTTGCTAGAAGCAGACAACACGAGTGATAAGCAATTTGCGTAATACCGATCAATATTTATTTATTTTGGAATTATTTGGGTGCTCATTTCTATTTTTTTTGTCTTCTTTTTCTGAGTGTTAAATTATATGATAATTATTCAAATAATACTAACAATACTCTACAAGTATACATTAAGTATACGGGTTTGATTACAATGTATTATAATTGTAAAATTTACATGACAGCCAATAAAATTTACCATTATATAAGTTTTCTAATAATTGTTGAAAAAGTCAATAAATTTATAATAAATAATAATTTATTTTTAGATCACTATATAAAATTATTTTACATTCTCGTGCATAGTACTTTTTCTCTTATTATAATTATAATAATATTTCTGTTTATATATGGTTCAACTTGTTTTAACTTTACTGATTTACTAATTAAATTAGATATATGATGCATATTTATATATTAAATTTGTAATAATTTGTTATGATCATCACACTTATGAATCACAATTACTAATAGTTAAACTAACTCATACTAAAGGATTAATACTTGATATAAAATGAGAATATACACATTATAACATGTATATAAATATAAGCAACTAAAACAACTCTACAAATACATACAAGACATGTACAATCATTCGATGTAAAAATAGTATAAAATCTTAAGTATCAGTCAAACACACACCCAGTTTCGAAGCTACACATTCAGCAGTCATACTCATAAGATATTTAACCGATGCATATGAACAAATCAATCAACAACGCATCATATGCATACGTTTCAATTAATGTATTTTCACACATTCACTTACAAAGTTCTCCCAATACATTAGAGTAGTCTAAGTGGCTTGACCCTACCAAGCCTACTCGACCACTTTAACACCCAATGTGCCCACTAGATCAACATCTAAAATGGGATACCAATCACTCCTCTAATTTCTCGAGTGTCACCACTTACATTAAGAAAGTCTGGTTTCACCGTCAAGACTAGTATAATAAGATATAGGCATACCACGACCTTGACATGCATTACCAAGTCACATATGGAGTTAGTTCACTAACTATTAGCAAGAAACCACAAAAAAATTTCAATAATTAGTTAAGGGTTATAGTTATCGACTTCATGCTTTACTCCACATTGACTAAAGACCAAGAAAAGACTCAACAAAATTCACTTCAAGAGTTCCACACCTACTTAAGGAGGGTTTTCAACAATTGGCCTCCTAGAACACCAAAACAAGATTCCCTATATGGGATCTTCAACTTTCACACAACACCATCTCCTCTAGTCCTAAGTCAATCAACATGTTTTAATGCCTACGACATTCTTAGCATCAACGTCTCAACATACATCACATATATACATCCCAAGTCAATGCATATAGAGATCAAGTCACACTAATCATAATTAGCATATCAATGCTATACACCTCATCCAAGACTAGCATGCCAATGCTAATGACTTATTTAATAAATGATAGCATACCAATGCCTATTAAACATCAATCATACCTAACATATCAATGCTCATCACCCTCATACAATTATACAACATGTATTAACAACATAACCCATGCCTTGGCGTAGCTTACCTTGCACTCGATGCTACTAAGACAAGAGTTCTCTATCTTGTCCATGTCTAGCAACACTCAACATGTGCTCGACGTGATTAAGGTAAGGAACCCCTAGGACCTCATGTCTAGTGTGGCAAAAAATCCATGCCTA